GTTCAATACTTTGGCCACTTGATGTGCAGAGCCAACTCATTGGAAAAGATCCTGATGCTGGGAAAGTTTGAGGGCAGAAGGAGAGGGGGTTGGCAGAGGCTGAGACAGCTGGAAGGCATCACTGACTCAATGGACGTGAGTTTGAGCAAACTCCAGGAATCTGTGAGAAGCCTGGCATGCTGCAGTTCATGGGGTCACAAAGAGTTGGATATGACTTAGCAACCAAACAACAACAACATGATTTATTTAACTAATCATACCTATATAATGAAGGCTTCAAAAAAACCCTAAAGGACAGGGTTCAGAGAACTTGCAGATTGGGGAACCAGAACCTTCTGCTTGCCACTGTGCCAGGTGTTAGGGAAATTAAAATGGAGGAAGTCTTGTTCAGACTTCAGAGACAAGAAAGCAGAGCAAGCCTCTCATTTTGCTTCTGGCCTGCCTAAACAACTGCCCTGACCATGTGCCTGCTTGTGAGTGCACCAGTTTTTACCAGTAAGCCAAGCACTATAGATAAGATAGGGAAGCCCCTGAAGATCTGGCCAATCCCCCAGGGTCTGAAAAAATCTCATCACTTACCAGATAAACAGCATTGTAAAAAGATTAATGTGAAACCAGAGCTGCATTTTTGCTCTTAAACTGATGATTATATCAGTTTGTGGCCCTGGATTATAAACAAGAGCCCCCAAACTCAATTTGAAATCTTGCCCGTGGTGGGGACACACTGCCCAGGACCTTTTCCCAATTGGGACTCCAGATTGCTGTTACTTGGGACTTCCCAGTGCTATTTCAACCTGGATGTTAGTTGGCCCAGTTTGGTGATGTATGTACTGTTACTCTCTGCTGTTTCTATTTATCTTTGCTTTTAATGATCATATGTTGAAAGTAAGTTAGATAATTCACTATTAAATATTGAAATTATGCACCTGTGTCTGATTCATGTCGATGTATGACAATAACCACCACAATGGTGTAATTATCCTCCAATTAAAATAAATTAATTAAAAAAATTTTAAAGATAATGTTAAAATTTTTTTAATATTAAAATTGTTTATTACTGTAAAATGAGTGGTTTCTTTTGTTAATGAATCCTTCAAACCTGAAAGTTAAAACTTTCAGCAAAACACCGGGCCCTAAACTCCACAAGGACAAAAGCTCCTTTATTTGGGAACTCATTTTGGGTATCTCTTCATCTCGCTTGAGTTATACGCTTTTATAATAAAATGGTGATCAAGCAAGTAAAATGTTTCTCCAAGTTCTGTAAGTTGCTTTAGCAAATTAGCTGAACCTGAGGAGGGGGCCATTGGAAGCTCCAATTTACACCCAATCAGTTAGAGGCATAGGTAACAACCTAGGTTTGCAATTGGCATCTGAGGTGAAGAGAAGTCTTATGGAACTGAGCATTTACCCTGTGGAATCTGATGCTGACTCCAGGTAGACCGTGTCAGAATTGAGTTGAATTGTAAGAAACCTAGCTGATGTCAGAAACTTGCCTGTTGGTGTGGGGAAATTCCTCCCCACTATCTCACTACTCTACCCCTACTGCAATGGAATGGGGTGCAGACCGTTACCAACTATCTTACCTCTGAAGATGCCAGTCTATAACTTTGCCCATCAGGCTTCCCTGCTTTCCATTCTGACCTTGCTCACTATGATAATTGTACGATCTGGCTTCCAATAGCTGAACACCTTCACCTGGCCTCTCTTATTTTGGGATGCCCATCATTCCCATTGCTATTAGTGAGCCCAATTCTGTAACAACATTCTACCATCAACTCTGCCCTGTAAGGGGAGAGCTACCACAGATAGTTCAGAGATGCTGTCCCTCTTGCCAGCATCTCCTTCATTGCTTTGACTTTCCTACAGAACCAAGCCATTTGGTAGGTTTTTAGAGCTTACATAATCTGTCCATTCTAGCATGCTCACGTCCTGAAACTTTTTGACCCCTTTTCCACTGTCTGCCATAGTAGTTCTAGAATTTCTACTTAAGGTGAACTTTTACTTTCTCTAGGCTTCTAAGGGCCATTCTAGAGTATGTCAACACTTTCTCCCAGGGTTCTTACCAGGATGATAAAACCTGTTTCCTGGATGAGTACTCCTGTTGCAAGAATGGGGACCCTTTCAGGGCATGAGAGTAGGCTCTTGTCTAACACTCAGAAATGAATTGTCTGAGGAGAACACATGCTGACCAAGTGAGAGATTTTATTGGCAAGGGACACCCGGGCAGAGAACAGCAGGGTAAGTGAACCTAGAACCCTTCTGCCACATGGCTCCCAGTCTCAGGTTTTATGGTAATGGAGTAAGTTTCCAAGCTGTCTCTGGCCAAACAACTCAAGTTGTTTCTGATTCAGGGTCCTTTCTGGTGCTGCACACATTACTCAGCCAAGATGGATTCTAGTAAGAAGGATCCTGGGAGGCTGGTAAAACATGTTGACTTGTGTCTCTTCTCCCTTTTGACTTTCCCAAAACCTTCCAGTTGGTGGTAGCTTGTCAGTTCCACCTTCCTTGCTTGGACCTCCTGTTTTTAACCATCTGTAACTCATACAAGTGGTTGCTGAGGTGCTTGAACAGGGTAGGGCAGTTTTGGTCAGTGATTCCCCTAACACTTCTGTATTGGCCAACACTTCCTTGTCCAACTTTATGATTTGTCTCCATCCTTTGATCTAGCACACTTGGAGTTGAGTTGGGCTTCCCTAGTTGCTCAGAGGTAAAGAATTCACCTACAAATGCAGTTCAATCCCTGGGCTGGGAAGATCCCCTGAGAAGGAAATGGCAACCCACTCCAGTATTCTTGCCTGGGAAATCCCATGGACAGAGAAACCTGACGGACTATAGTCTATGGGATCACAAAATAGTCAGACGTGACTTAGCGACCAAACAACAATAGAGTTAAGCCTCATAGACACTCTCTTGGCTTCTGAGGTGCATAACAACTAAGTTCTGCAGAGCCTTTACCTTTCCTCCTTACCAGGCCCAACACTCTCCTGTTGGTTTATATTGTAACTTTAGTTATGGATCTGTTGGCTAGGCAGGGAGGCAGGGCAGACCTTGAGAGTGCATATGGTCTTAAAGGGCAGAGGCCTCTTAACCATCTTCAAGCCAGAGGAAAGCACTAATTTTTAAGGAGTGGGCCTATTCTATAAAACCAAAGGGTTTGAAGAAGTTTAGAGGTTCAAATTCTGAATGTATCAACCCAGATACATTTCTATCCAGATGTCCTCATTTCTGAGGTCCAGTACTTTCCAAATCAGGGTCCTGATGTTGTGTAACAGACTTGGTTAGAGTGACACCTTAACATTCTTGAACTCTGCTATTCTTCTGATTATATCCTGGGCTTGGGCCTCAACTTTTCCTGCCCTCCCACTGCAGAAGAGAGTTTCTTAATATGTTGCTGAGGAGACCCATTGGTTTTCACAGTTAGTCTTTAATTAACCATCCTTGATCTTTCATTAATTACCTCCAGCAAGAGCTATCTAATGCCATCATCTTTATAATTACTACTTCTCCATATTCTCAGATGTTTCATATACTGCACCCTAGTGTACTTCCTTCCACTGATACACCATCCCAGTTCATCATCAGTGCAAGTTTGAATAATTGCAATTCTCTCTTGTGTGTTTTCTGCATTTATAGCCAGGGATAGGGTCCTCATTACTAGCCAAGACAGTAAGTGATCCAGCTCCAAAATCTCATTTTAGCAACTGCTTTCTCCCCTCCTAGCACCAACTTTCACAGGTTGGAATCTCCATGAAATAAATATTGATATGAAAACTAGTGTGCACAAAGTTTCTAAGGGAGCTCTCTCAGGGGGGTTGTAGGGATGCAAGACTAAGTAAAAGAAGAAACCGAGCTACAAAGCAGTCCCAACAAAGCCTTAGCCAAATCCTCAGGGAATTCTGAACCTGTGATTTCCCTGCCAAGTTGTTCCAAGTTCAGGGGAGGAATCTGGTATCTATATGCCCACATGGACCAGGCATTGGGTGAAGTTTGCTGTGAGAAGAGGTGTGGCCTTAGACAAGGCACATCTCTTCCACAGAGGTTAATTTCAATAAGGTATCAGTTCTGAAGAGAGGATCTAGATAGTGCAGGATCCTTGACAGACTTTTCAAAACTAGGGGGAACAGGGATGGGTACAGTATAGCCTTCAAGAAGAGGAAGTGTTTGAACAAGAATAACCCTCTTTCTGTATAATGATTGTTTTCTTCATCTGCTAGTTAATAGGATTTGATTCTAGTTATAAAATTTGGTCTCACTGTAAAGTAACTTTACAGTTGATGATAATCTAGAAACATTTAAACAAAAATAATCCTTTCATGAACAAAAGAGAGCCCAGACAGTGTAACCCTTTGATAATACTTCTGCTTTAATAGACTGTTTGCAAACACATAGATATCCAGGGGAAAAGGTAACACAGAGTGAAGTATTGAGAGCACAACTGTGCTTTAATTTAGGTGTTAAGTTTCTAAATGTGGCAGCAATCATACTTCTAAGCAAACAATGTCCACTAGCTCGCAAAAACATTTGATGGTGATATTAGAACAGTTAACTTCATACTGTAAAACATGTTAAATACCTCCTCTGTACATTCATGGTATGTTGCATCTGTGTTTTTCACAAAAAAGAGGCATCTCTAGATTTCATAATCAGAGTCAGCCTCATGAAGATTTAGATATGAACTAGTGCCTCTCAATTTGTTTCTCAAACTAAATTTTTTTTAAAAACAGTATAATTTATTCTTTAAAGCAGTTTTATAGATATGGAGAGTGTCACTAATTTCATGGTGACATTGTTGAATATGATACATAAGAAATGCAGGTATTTTCCAAGACAACAGGATAGATAAAGGAGGCTTTAAGAATCCATGAGAAAAAAGATGATAAAACTGAAAAATCCTTTTCAGATATTTTAAATTTTCTAAAAAGCTTTTTGTCCTCAAATTAATCATTTAACCATGGTATACAAAATGCATTGCCTGGTGTGAAGATGGGAAACCCTCTCTTTTATATAGTAAAATCCTCTTCTGATCCATCCTGCCCCAAGTTCTGGTTGTATGAGCGCAAATTTCTCTCCCTAGATCTAAAGTTGTAATTAAAAGCATCATTTCCTTCTACTGGTTGGTATTCCTGTTCTATTTCATTTAGGAAGTCACTTCCAGATTCTGCTCCAGAGCCTGATCCTGAGACATCCTCCGAAAGAGGGAAGACTTCATTCAAATTCTTGGAATTCGTCATTCTGAAGTAAGGCAGAAAAAAGGGGGAAAAATCATTAAAGTTTGAGACATAAAAAGATAATCATAAAACATTTTTTTAAGGTAAGAAAGTAAATGTAGCGACTCAGTTGCTGAAATTAGAAGTTAAAAGTTTCCCAGTTATTTAATGCTTTGAAACAAAAAAATAATTTCCACATGTTTGCATATACTTACTGTAACTAACTCATTGCCTTTATCAATTCCACATCTGCTCATTGCAGATGGATACAAAATGCTATCACTAACATGGCAATCCTATATTTGGAATTTATTTTTCTTTTTTTTTTTAACAGAAAAGGCCCCATTTTTACACTTTCTCCCACTCAATAGATAGATGATATTTTTCCTAATTTAAAATTTCTACAGAACTTCTAATAACTTCACAGTACTTCAACAAAGCTCACTCTTAGGTAATTCTTGGTAACAAGTCAAGAATTATATATACCAACATGTTAACATTTCAGTTTGTGTGTGCTCAGTCGCTTAGTCATGTCCAACTCTTTGTGACTCCATGGACTGTAGTCTGCCAGGCTCCTCTGTTCATGGGGATTCTCCAGGCAAGAATACTGGAGTGGGTTGCTATGCCCTCCATCAGGGGATCTTTCCAGCCCAGGGATCGAACTCAGGTCTCCCGCATTGCAGGTGGATTCTCTACAGACTGAGCCACCAGGGAATCCCAGTTTAAATGTTTACAAAGCTTTAAATTCCCTCAGAATTTTTGCCAGTGTGAAGGAAAATAAAAAAGCACTGAAATTGGGAATTGCCTGGTGGTCCAGTGGTTAGGACTCCAAGCTTTCACTGCTGAGAGCTCAGGTTCGATATCTGGTTGGGTAACTTGGATCCCACATGCCAAGCAGCCAAAAAATATAAAAAGAAAAAGAAAAAAAGTAAGTGCTTCCACCAAGCATTCTGGGTAGAAGGTAGAACCAGAAGGGGTTGAGGAGAGGAGAGGGGTGATAGTAAGCAGAGAAAGGGGCAACAGCTGGAGAGGAAGCAGAATCAAAGAGGAGATTTTACCTAAAAGTAAGTGATGCTAGAGAATGTCTGCAGACTAATGCTGGCTTCAGAGGGTGGACTGCAGAATTAGAGTCCTGGAGAAGGTGCATGAAATAAAATACCCAGCACAAGGAAGGTGGCCTTAGAAGCTGCCACAGTCAGAGTCCAATCAGGAAACTTAATCTCAATATTTAAGACAGGAAATTGCTTACACATGAGATGGAAAAGAAGGAAAGCCAAATAGGGAACAGTGAGGAACTCCAGAAATGAGCAACAGCAAGAGAACACTTCTCTCCCTGGGCTAGAAGGATAGTAGAGATACTAGAGAAAGTATCTACCTAAGTAGACACTATCTAGATAGTGGAGATAGGTACTACCTAAGCCCAGGGACCAAGAGCACTGGTGGAAGCTGAAGTCATGTATGAGATATTAGCCTTGCCAGAGGTGCCACCAAGGCAGGAATGAGAAGAAACATACTTCTCTCTCCCTGCCACCCATGCTGAGCAATTTCCCTTCCAGGCATCCCACTGGCCAAACTCAGCCACAGATCTGGGAGTGTGAGAAATGCAGATCACAGGGATCAGCCCTCATCCTTCCACCCAATACAGACCAGGGATGGGGAAGGAGAAATGCATCTGAGAGCAAAAGAGTCCAAGACTGACACAGAGAGGCTATGCATCCATAGTGACAGGAGTTTCAGAGCAGGAAGGAAAGTTACTGACTGAGAAAAAGGAAGATTATACAGATTTTTAAAAAAAACTATTTAAAGGTTATGTTCTATTTATAGCTATTATAAAATATTGACTATATTCCCTGTTGTATAAAACATCTTTGTAGATTTTTTTATTCATAGTACTTTGTACCTCTTAATCCCTTGCCCCTATCTTGCCCCTCCCCACTTCCCTCTCCCCATTGGTAACCACTGGTTTATGCTCTATATCCGTGTATCTCTTTTTTGTTATATTCATGAAGTTGTTTTATTTTTTTATATTCCACATATAAGTAATACACAATATATGTCTTTCTCTGACTTATTTCACTAAGCATAATACCCTCCAAGTCCATCCATGTTGTTACAAATGGGAAAAATCTCTTGGATTTTTATGGCTGAGTAGTATTCCAATGTGTGTGTCCGTGTGTGTGTGTGTGTATCACATCTTCTTCATCTATTCATCTTATTGATGGGCACTTATGTTGCTTCCACATCTTGGCTATTGTAAATAATGCTGCTGGGGTATGTATATCTTTTCAAATTAAGTGTTTTCATTTCCTTTGGATAAATATCTAAGAATGCAATTGCAGGATTATATGGTAACTCCATTTCCAGTTTTCTGAGTTTTCTACAGTGATTGCACCAATTTACACTCCCACTAACACTGTACAGGAGTTCTCTTTTCCTACATCCTCACCAACATTTGTTAATTGTGGTCTTTTCGATGACAGCCATTCTGACAGGGGTGAGGTGATATTTTTTGTGGATTTTAGTTGCATTTCTCTGGTGATTAGTGATGCTGAGCATCTTTTCATGTGCATGTTGCCCATTCTTCTTTGGGAAAATGTCTATTCAGATCTTCTGCCCATTTTTCAGGTTGTTTGTTTTATGATGTTGAGTCATGTGAGCTGTTTATATATTTTAGATAGTAACCCCATATCAGTCATATCATTTTCTCCCATTTCAGTAGGTCATCTCTTTGTTTTGCCAATGGTTTCTTTTGCTGTGCAAAATCTTTTTAGTTAGGTCCCATTTGATTACTTTTGCTTTTGTTTCCTTTGCCATAAGACACAGATCCAAAAAAATATTGCTACAATTTATGTCAAAGAGAGTGGAAGATTATGGAGATTTGAGGAGGGAAGAAATAGTATAAAATAGCTGTTTTGGAGGATTTAGGTTATTCCTCTAGTATTTTAGATTAAATGAATTAGTTTTGAAATCCATGACTTAAAATAATGGAGGATGTTGTAACATCAGGTTCAAACTTTGTGCTGGAGATTTAAAACTGAAGCACAGGGTTGCAGAGTTGTATTTTAAGGATGGTGATGATATAAGTTCAGTGATAAAGGGGGTTGCCAGTATCCCCAAAGTGATAATAGGCTTACCTGGTTTGGACACAATGACTTATGTGGCTTTCAGAAGGGTGATTTTCTTTTATTTATTTTTTTAAATTTAATTTAGAGCTCAGATTGAGAGTAGAAATCTATAGTTATAAAGGTCTGTAGTAAAACCTTTACGTCATTGCTCAGAACTGATCAGCCTTTTATACACACACACCTGCAGCCAATTCTCACTCACCCGCCAGTAAGTCCTCAGTTACCCATTGTTGCCTTTACACACACGCACACCTTATTTTACATTATTCTTTGCTTCTCAGAACTACAGAGATCATGCATCAGGTAGACTAGGAGGTCTTCATATGCTCAGATTTGGCTATTTTCATCATTGATCCACTTTATTTTTTAAAAAAGATTTATTTATTGGCTGTGCTGGGTCTTTATTGCTGTGAGTGGGCCTTCTCTAGTGGCAGTGGGCTGAAAACTACTCTCTTGGGCTATTCTCTAGTTGCAGTGTGTGGGCCTTTCACTTCAGTGGCTTCTCTCACTGCAAAGCACAGGCTCTAGAGCACATGGGTTCAGTAGTCGTGGCTGACGGGCTTAGCTGCTCTGCGGCATGTGGGATCTCAGTTCCTGGACTAAGGATTGAACCTATGTCCCCTGCATTGGCAGGAGGATTCTTCCTGGACCACCAGGGAAGTCCCAGGAGAGTGACTTTCTATTTAAGCCTGAATATTAAAACTTTTATGATAATTCTTTTCATAATATATCTTTGCCACATGTAACTTTGATATTCAGTGAAATAATGGGCTCTAATACAATTCAATTTTTGTTACTTATGAATTCCTATTGGATCCTTTTTGCAAGTATAAGGCAGGTTTTATTTTATCAAGAAGTGGTATGGCTTTCTTTTTTATGAGTCATGGCCACTTATCTTCTTCCCCCTAATATCTTTTTTTTAATCACTACTATCTAAACAGAACACTTTTATCACCCCTCAAAAATCCTATACCTATTGGCAGTCACTCTTTATTCCTCTCTCCCTCACAGCCAATGACAACCACTCTATTTTCTGTCTCTATGGATTTTGTCTATTTCTGTACCCTTCATATAAATGGAATCATATAATATGTGGCTTTTTATGTCTGGTTTCCTTCACTTTGCATAATGTTTTCTGGATTCAGCCATGTTGCGGCATTTATCAGTACTTATTTCTTATGGTCAAATAATATTACACTTTATGTATATATCAAATTTTGTTTATCCATTCAGGTGATAGACTCCTATTGGATTTTAATATATAATGTGCTCTATTTACATTAATAAAATAATGTTCAATTATTTTCAATACCTATTGGTGAAAAGTATTCAATTTTTGTTTCTGCCACCAGAAAAAGACCTTGCAAAAGTGTGAGTCATGTATTCTTGTGCATCTCATATACCAGTAAATACATTACAGTTTCACCCTGTACTATGCAGTGAAAATTGAACCATGGAAGCAAGAGCCTAAAGAAAACGCTCTGGACAACCCTTCTACCTCCATGCCGAGATCTCAACAGAGGTTGACAAAAGTAAAATCTAGAAATTCCACTTACAAGAAACGGTCAGCCCTGGGAGGTGGGATTTTGCTGGATTCACTTGGAAGTAGATCAAACTCTGGTCCCTTTTCTTCAATGCAGTTTGCCGAATTACTGTCAGGACTGCAGCGTACCCACTGGTACCTGGCTTTCTGCACAGGAGAACCTGCCCAAACAAGGAAACCGCATGGTCAATAAGTATCTCTTACACAGCTTCTAATCACTCTTTCCCTAAGAAAATTTTAATTAAATAGATTTTAAATTTTGTAGGTAAGGTGTGGACAGGTTTTATGACCATTTCACCCGTTGTTTCCCAGCCCTTTATACATAGTTTATCCTTCTCATACTACAACTGTGCGGAGTAGCCTAGAGATTAACATTAGAATAGGCTTTGGCAGTTAGCTGCCTCTGCTACTGGTGACCTGTGAAACCTTCACTTCCCCGAGTACCCACCAGAAAATTCAGGTACTAAAAGTGCCTCATTTTCATAAGCTGGTCACAAAAATTAAATGAGAAATGTATGTAAAGATCTTAACATAGTGCCAAGCACACAGTAAATAAACACCTAATATTACTAACTATTATTCTCTCTGTACTATTATTTCCATTTTATACAAAGGAAAACTGAGGCTGCATAGGTACTAAGCACCCAGAATTCAACCTTCTATCTGACCCCAAAGTCTGCCTCTTCTGATAGAGATGAGTCAAATTATGTTCAGAAAGGTTAAGAAATGTACCAAATAGTCCTGAGATATTACAAAACCCCAGTTCTTTGGGACCATGTGGTATTCTTGAGAATGAAAGCAGATTAAAAACTTAATCTCTTTCTTTGGCCTCAGATCTAGTCAGAGATTTCAAAAGTCAAGGCTCTTCTGTTCACCAAAGCTGGGCTTTCACAGCCTGTTTTAATTTCTACATAAAAGGCTCCATATCCTGTGTTGAGGTTATGTAGGAGATCTCTTATTAATTTATGAAATAAATTTCATTCCTCAGTTTAGCAAGGATGGAGCCCTTGGTGGTGAGAAATACTTCACTACCCTGCCAAAGGATCATCTCCTCCCCACCTCAAGTACATATTTGATTCACACAAGTACAGCTAATCATCATCTAACATGAAGGAGCACATCTAAAACTCCTGAAAAGCAGAAAATGAGATTTTGTTAGGGGCACCACTGACTAAAGCTACCTTGTCCTGGCCAAGCACAGTCATAACCACTTGCTCAAGTTATCTATCATACAATAGGAGGTCCTGGTAAAGAATGCAGACTAACAAGCTACCACCCGGAAGCATTTGGGAAAGGTCAAAAGGAAAGAGGAGATGACAGTCCATACATCCTACAAACCTCCCAGAATCCTCCTCACTAGAATCCATCTTGGCTGAGTGATGTGCATGCTACCACGAAGGACCCTGAGTCAGAATAACTAGCCAGAGACAACCTGAAAACTAACCCCATTACCCTAAAACCTGAGACTGTGAATTCCATGGAAGAGCAGTTCTCCTGGGTGCCCTACCTGCTGCTCTCTGCCCAGTGTCCCTTCCCAATAAAGTCTCTTGCTTTCTCAGTACATGTGTCTTCTTGGACAATTTATTTCTGAGTGTTAGACAAGAATCCACTCTCAGGCCATGGAAGGGGTCCCCCTTCCTGCAAGAGTTTTAAAGCCCAGTACATAATTGTTCTGTACAGATTGAGATGCAACTGATAACCATATTTAAGAAAACAAAATAAAATGAAGAACAGTGTTGTAGATAATCACTGCAATATTTTTTGCAGTACCAAAGACTATAAAATTAAATGTTAGTGAATTAAGGTGCAGCCTACAATACTATGCAGCTATTAAAAGAATGTGGCAGTTCTCTGGGTACTGATATATAATAATCTTCAAGTATGTGTGTATACATAGTACATAAATGTATATGTATGTGTGTATGTATGTGTATACATATATATATTTTTTTGGCCATGCTATGTGGCTTGCAAGAATTTAGTTCCCCAAACAGAGGTTTGAACATGCCTTCAGTAGTTAAAGCATGGAGTCTTAACCACTGGACTACGAGGGAATTCCCTCCAAGGTAAAAAAAAGTAAAGAACACTATGCATTGTGTGTTACCATTTGTATGTGTTGTGGATTTTTGGAATTTATTTACATGCAAGCTTACATGCACAGAACACCTCTTAAAGATACACAACAAACTGATCATCTTGGTGGAGGGAATTAGTGGCTAGAAGAGAGTGGAAGGAAGAACACTGACTTCACTGCATATCCGTTAGAACTTTTAGATTCTTGAGTTATACTTATGTATTATCTTTCAAAATTAATTATTTTTATTTTTAATAGCTTTATTAAGGTGGATTTGACATTCAATTAGCTGTGCATATTTAAAGTGTACAATTTAATGTTTCAACAAGTGGATACAGCATGGAACCATCACCACAGTCAAGGGTATGAACATATCCAACATCCTCCAGAGTTTTCTTGTGCCCCTCTGTGACCCTGCCCTTCTCCCTCCCTTCTCCTGACTCGACCCCCCCCCCCCGCCCCCGAAATCATCAGTCTGCTTTCTGTCATTATAAATCAGTTTGCATTTTCTAGATTTTATGTAAATGGACTCATGCAGCTACTTGTCAAAAGTTTTCTGACTTTAACTCTGGGTCTAGAGGACTCTCTACCTTTTATAGTACTCTCCTAAAAGTGGAGAGTCTATTTAGACATTCCTTAAAACTTTTAAAAATGTAGCAAACAAAGAAAAAAAAGTTACTCCTAATCTCATTACCCAAACCCCTAGAGACTATAAATTTTAGAGTTTTCTTTTTTTCCTTCTGAGTGTCAGTATTTCTCAGAGAGTATGCACAAGTTGTTTCCCTTCTCAACTATCAGAGGTTGAAAACTGGAGCCTCTACCAAGGTCAGATTCACTTTATATCTCAATGGGATGGCCAAGGACTTTGTTCCTAAAAGACTGCAGACCCACAGAATTTTGCAAAATGTTCTTTTTCCTTATGAACCTCTATTATGTTTATTTATACTCAACTTTGTCCTAGTTAATATTTCTGATTAATTTTATAAATACAGCTTTGTTAGCTTTCATTAAGATATACATACATATGAAGGGGAATATATAAAGAATTCATGATGCTGTTCACCCTAGTATTATTTAAAATAGGAAAACAGTAAATAACTAATCAAAACAAGAGAAAACACTGAGATTAATTATGAGGCATTAATATGAGAGAATATTAACCAAACAGAAAAAAGTAGTAGCTATGGAAAAGACTACATAGCATCACAGGAAAGTTTATATTAAAAAACGAGTTAAAAATAGCAGAATGCCATTCTATGCATAATAGTTGTTAATGCAACTACATGTACAGATAGGGGGGATGGGAGGAAATACACAGAAATAGCTATAGTGGTAGGCTCCAGTGATTATTTTTCTCACTTTGTTTTCTAAATTACTGTAATAAACAATATTCTTTTAAAATATAAACAAAGCAAAGACTCTAATGTAGAAAGTAAATGTTTTAAATGGAAAAAAAAAAGAAAGTAAATGTTCTCCCACTGTTTTCCTTCTTTCTTTCTGTCTTGCTTTCATTTTTTTCTTTATTTTAGGACTACTACTCTGTCATATTCTTCCACATAGTTCCTGAATATAGCTTACAAATTTCTAGTCTGGGAAACTAGTCATCCAGAATGGGTTAGCTTTGTCACTGCTTGGAGGCTGAAGGTAAGGTTGCCAGAAGACATCACAATGGCCGACCCTTACTAGCTATATAACTATAACCTCCCTGTACCTCAGTTTCCTCATCCATAAAATGGGGACAGTAATAGATCTAATAATAAGATACAAATATTAGGTTCTTAGAATAGTACCTAGCACCATGGTCAGAGCTCTTTAAATGCTAGCTTCTGTGATGAAGAGGAGGATAACAATGACCTATTGACCTATCTCTGATAGAGATAAACCAAATTTAAATTCCTGTCCCACCATTGAGCGCCTCTCTGATTCTCAATTTCTCATCTTTGAAATGGGAATAATAGTATCCCAAAGAGTTCCTGGTGGCTCAGCTGGTAAAGAATCCACCTGCAATGCAGGAGGCTCAGGTTTGATTCCTGGGTCGGGAAGATCCGCTGGAGAAGGGAGAGGCTACCCACTCCAATATTCTGGCCTGGAGAATTCCATGGATTGACTGTATAGTCTATGGGGTCACAAAGAGTCGGACAGGACTGAGCAACTTTCACTTTCAAAGAGTTCCAGTTTAAACAATATAGATGTGATACATCTAGCACAAGCTTTTGAGTATGGTAGGTATTTAATACATTTTAGCTCTTTCTCCCTCTCTGATTCTTTCTTGAAGAATTTTGGCATCTAATGAATTACTGCTTAGAAGCTTCATCGTGTGAAGTCAAGTGAAAATTCAACATCTGCTCCAGCAGAGGGCAATGTCTTCACACCCTATGCCATCTAGACCAATGCAGTCCAATAGAAATAAGAGGAACCATCCGTACATGTCTGAAATTTTCAATATTAGGACAGTCACATTTTAAAAAGTAAAAAAGAAATAAGTGACCTTAATTTTAAAACATTTTACTTAAACCAATATATCCAATAAACAATGTAAGTTATTAATGGATATTTTACTTTTTTTTTCATACTAGGATTTTAAATCTGGTGTGCATTTTGCGCTTATACCAGATCTGTTTGGACTTGCCATATTTCACACATTTCAAGTGCTTAGTAGCCACAAGAGGTTCCTGGCCACCATTTTGGATAGAGCAGGTCTAGACATTCTCCTCTATTGCCACTGATGGCTGAGTATCAAACCAAGAAACTGCTTGCATAGACAGGAAGTTAAACAGAAAAGTAAAACTAATAGTTTATGAAGAAACATCCAAATGAAAAATCGTATCTTTTCACTAGCGTAAAAAACACAACTTTGATAAATTAGAAAACTAAAATACAAATTCTTTCTAGAGTTTAGCATCTCAGCTTTTAAAATTTATAATTTTTTTTTTTTTTGAGAGAGAGAGAGAATGTGAAAATTCTCTTAAGGCAAGACATTTCTTTCCAACTTTTATTATTATTAGCCACATGGCATAGCATATGGGACCTTAGTTCCCTGACCAGGGATCAATCCCACGCCTCCTGCACTGGAAGTGTGGAGTCTTAAACACTGGACTGCCAGGGAAGTCCCCAAGAGGGTTTTCCTTTTTTGGGTAATGAAAATGTTCTAAAATTGACTATGGTGATGGTTGCACATATTTGTAAATATACTAAAAAACCATTGATGTACACTTTAAATGGGTGAATTATATGGTATATGAACTCTATCTTAATGAAGATGTTCCAAAATTTATAAGAAGTCAAAAGTAGAAGTCCATCTTCCCCCCAAAAATGTTTATCTAATTTGAAATTGGGGCTTCCCTGGTGGCTCAGCAGTAAAGAATCCTACAATGCAGGAGACATGAGTTTGATCCCTGGGTCAGGAAGATCCCCTGGAGAAGGAAATGACTACCCACTCCAGTATTCTTGCCTGGGAAATCCTATGGACAGAGGAGCCTGGCAGACTACAGTCCATAGGGTCGCAAAGAATCAGACACAACTTAGTGACTAAACAACAACAACTTGAGACTGATGATTTTACTTCATTTGTTTTAATTTTTAAAAGTTTTATTGGTATTTAACATATTCAACCCGGCACAAAATTCACTCTTCTAATATGTACATTTCAGTGGGTTTTTTTTTTAGCATATTCATAGGTATGTGCAACTATCACCACAAATTTAGAACAATTTTATCATCACAGAGAAATCCTCTGTCTTTTAGCTATCCAACTCCTGTATCTTATATGTCTCATCCCTAAGTAACCAGTAATCAATCTACTTTTTGTCTCTGTATTTTTTACCAAATTGGACATTTTATATAAATAAAATAATATGAAGTGGGTTTCTTTTTAAGTATAACTGACCTATACCACTATATTTGTTTCAGATGCATAACATAGTGATCCTCGATTATTATACATTACAAAATGATTAACACAGACTGGGGATCTTAAATTTGCTTTAAAATAAAGAACGTGGTTACAGATACCAAGTTCCTGATATATTTATTCAAGAGTGTTGGCAGGATGTGAAAATTCAACAGTTCTAGCCCCCCAATGTGTGGGAGTATCTTGATTCTCTTTTGTTTGAGAGAAGTGTCTTGCGATTACGTAATTTAAAAAATAAGAGGAAACATGCTCATGGACAGAAAAATGATCTTCCTAAGAGGTCCCACTTACAGATCTCCTGGTTAATTCTGCAGTGGATTCAAGGAAGAAGAATGTTTTTTATTTGGAATCACTTCCCTCACTGCCTATACCTGTCCTTTCTTTCTGTGTCTCTGTCTTTGTCTCTCTTTCACATATACACAGAATCTACTAGTCCTACTTTAGCAAAACACTTTCTATGATTAAACATTACCATTTATAAAAAAAATAAACCTCTGACACGGGCAAATAACTTACCCTAGTAATCTCTCTGTATCTTTTTATATTGTAGTATCAACATTTCCCCAACGTCATCACAGTTTACTAACTTCCTATTCTTAATGGAGACTTGCTGCGGGTTTGTTAGAAAAACTTTAAAATTGCCATGTTAGGGGAGAAAAAAGACCACTTTCATTCATTATTTAGTGGCATCCAAACAGGCATCACTATCTAAGTTGGAGCTACTTCCTTCTGGCCAATCAGTTGCACAAGATTCCTCACCCTTGTGTGGTTTGACAAGCTATAAAACGTTCCAAGTTTACTTTCAATTTCTCCCTCTCTCTCCCTCGACTCAGTGGTTTTTGTAGTAAGAGCTATAGTCAAAGCAAGGTTGTTTTAAATAAAGACAATCTCTACTCCAACTAGAAAACAGCTAAACTGCAGTAGAAAGTTAATTTGAACTTGAAATCAGGTGACCAGCTCTGCCATTAATTAGTTGTAATGGGCCTAGGGCAAGTCTCATACATTTTTTGCAAGAGGTTGATGTAAAGAAGAAATGAGGTGATGAATGTAAGATCCAGTTTTCTTCTCTATAAATTGGTATTAACTCCTCCTCACAGGGAATGTGATGACCATTTACCTGAGAATGGATGCGAAATCACTTTATAATTGAACAGCAGTGAACACTGGTGGAATCAATATTATTATTGTGATCTCAGAGACAGTGTAGAGTGGACACAGGGTCTGGCAATGACCCCCCGGCTACACCTGCTCATGGATTTTCCGTTTTCCTTCTTTATGGGCATCTTTGAAAAAGAGAGTTAATAAAACAATTTGGGATTCACAGGCCTTATCAGTAATCTCCTGGAGCTCTACATTAAATTGATTACCCATCTGTCCTCTCCAGGGTCTCCCACACCTTGCCCAACGTCCTTCTCTTTGCACTTGGTAGATGGGCTTTTTATAGCATGTTTTTATTTCAGCTTCACTTATAGTCACTGATGTGGGCTGAATTTTGTTGCTCCAACTCAATGTATTGAAGTGCTAACCCCTAGTACCTCAGAATAGGACTGTATTTGAGTCTTGGGACTCAATAGAATAGACTATTTGTATTTGGGACTTTAAAGAGATAATTAAGGTATAATGAGTTTACACGGATGAGCCCTAATCCAGTATGGCTGTTGTCCTTATAAGAAGAGGAGACCAGGACACAGAAACACACAAAGGCCCATGTGAAGACAGAGATAAGATGGCTATCTACAAGCTGAGGAGAAAAGCTTCAGGATGAAACTAACCCAGCTGATACCTTCATCTTGGACTGCTAGTCTCCAGAACTGTAAGGAAATAAATTCCTGTTGTTTAAACCACCCAATCTGTGGTACTTTGTTATGGCAGCCCTAGCAGATTAATACAGTAACCTGAGATGTTTCGTTTCAGTAAAAGCAAGTCAAAAGTCTAGTGGATTTGATCAGTTAAATCAATGGGTTAAGAAAAAAAATTATTTTTAAGTGGGGAAAGAGTGCTACAGAATCATATCTGAAAAAAAAAAAAAAGAATCATATCTGGCATCACATAGAATATTATGAAATAGAAACCTCTTTGCAGCCTTGAGTTGATGTTACACACACACACACACACACACACAGCCAGTGGAAGGGTGTCTATTTCCCTTCTTATTCAAGTGTGGGCACAAACGCTTAATTCCAATACCAACTGCACTTCTCCTTTGGAAACTCCCTAGTTTTTCAGTCTACTCATTCTCTCATTTTTGGTTCCCTTCCCAACACAGAGCAAAACGTACCCAATGATGACATAAATACTAGTACTTTATAAAATTATATAATAGTTTCTTCACTACTCTCTGGAAAATACCTACTACATAAAGAACACTTTTGTTTTAATTTTAGTTTTCCCTATTGAATCTTAGTGGGAAATGTGACACTTATGGGAGATTTTAAAGATGTAAAGGTTCATCGAGCTCTGGTCAGAGTAGACCCAACACCAACAAGTCACTCGGGTCTGTTCTTCAAACATAGACTTGACTGCCTGGATCTTGTCAGAACACATTAGGGAATTATTTCACTGGCTGAAGGTTTTCCCTGAAAGATTGCAGTAAAGCCTGTTTCTCACAATCAACAATGTTTTATCCTTTAAAAAAAATAAATAGATTAGTGGGAAAGTTTCATCAACATTATTTGCTGGTTTTTTCAATAATTGCATAACAAGAAGAAAGTGATTTTATAAATTTCCTATATATAATGAATGTATCTGAGGTTATGTGTACAATTTCATTTCCACCAGAAGTAAAAACAAGACAACTAGAAGTCACTTCGAAGAAACGTATCTAAGATATGTGCATCACTATGACTCAATATTTCCTTTGCGATTTGGAGGAACTTAGTGTTTTTCTACTATAAATTCTCCCATCTACTTATCAGGCCATGACTATAATCCCTTATTTACCAAAGGAGAAGAAACTGTTTTTCTTACAAACTGATCATTTTCACTTTCTTAGTCATTAAAGGTTTTAAGTTGTTTTATTCTGACTAAACAATCCTAAATGATAGACCTAACAAAAATTTTCCAAATATGCTGTTTCTCTGAGCAACAACACAATTACTAAAATTCTTTGGCCTTTCTTTAAAATCAGAGAGGGTATTCATTAGCTACGTCTAAACACAAGTGAATTTTCACTAAGAACCAGGTTTAAAAAAGGAGTGAAAATACAAGCACATTTACTCTGATTTTAAAAATAGTATTTCCCAGTGTCTAAATAATTATGACATCACTCATCATTAAAACTTGAGATAGATATGGGCACTTAGAGGTAAACCATTTTCTCTATTCCTTTCTTGAGCCTTTAAAAATTTGTAAGCTATTTTCACCTGACAATAAAATAATACATTTCAATCATTTTAAGAACTTACAAGGCTGTAGCTGCCTCAGAGTTTAACTTTTTTTTTTTGGTACCAAACTTAACCAACTTCACTCTAAGGAGTTCAGCTACCCCAAATTCTTTTTTTTTTTTTTTCTTGGCCTACTTTCCCTTAATAAACTATATTCTATACCCTTAGAGTGAATATAATCATTTGTGTGGACCCTGAGGCATACAAGAAGATTATAAGGTGACAAGATTACTGGGTCTTACCTAGAACTGAAGATAAAATCAGGATGAAGGCAAGAGGCAGAATAAGCCTAGTGCACTGGAGGAGCACCTGCATGGTGACCAGCTTGCTTCAGCACCACCCGCACACCAACCTCACAACAGGGAAGTGTAGCCCGGTGCTCTCTGTCCCTTTTAGAAAAGGTTCCAAACCACAAACCCTGCCCAGAAGACACGTCAGTTTCCTGAGCAAATAGAAAGAGATCCACATCAACCCCAGAAAGATTTAGAAAAAAAAAGAAAAAGGAAGCAAAATAACTATTCATAGCCGTTATGAAACTGCAATGAACTCTCCCCAGGTCTGCTTTCTCAAAAGTTTTGTTGTTTGCCACATGCCTGGTAGAAATTTTTCCCCACTGAAACAGTAGAATCAGCATTCAGGACACTTTGTTTTTTCTTTCTTCAGGTAACAATCTAAACACAAGTTTGCTAGCCCACTGCACAGCTGATAAGGGAGCTGGATGCTGCCTTTTCATCACTGAGAACCTTCAACATAAAATATTCTTGATTTTATTTTTCATCAGGAGTAGCATAACTCACAGAGCCAAGCATAATAAGTGAAACTTCAAAGCTGAGTTCTAATCTACAAGAAAGTGTTGTTGGATTTCAGACAACTGGTTTCTTCTTATCAGATTCAGTTTCTCCCACTGGATCACCAGCTCTCCCTCTGCCTCAAGAATCTAGTGAGGATTTTTGGTTATGAAGAACTGGGTAAAAAGTTCTAAAAAAAAAAAAAATCATTTGCAGTCCTCTGCTCCTTCACACTGAGCATTCCTTATGGCTTGATTCCATTTATACTCTGCTGTTGTTTTTTGTTTCCCCTGGTAAAAATTTTCAACTTGACTTTCAGGTGCTCTGGCCTTGAATAAGCCAGAAATCAGAAACAAGGGGAGGTTGTCCCGTCAGTGGACTGCTGGACCTCAGAAAACTTAAAACAAAGGAACAGCATCTCCCACATATCCTGGGGATCATATGCTGACTGAAGCCTGAGGAACATGAGGTACAGGCTCCATAATAAAGTCAACAGTTTATCGCACACTCTTGCCCTTGAAACACACACTCTCTCCATTTCAACTTGTCTAACCCTGAAATGCCGACTTTCCATTTTCACCCTCTCTCTGGCCTGTCCTTTGACAGGAGGGAGGAGTTTCCCTTCCCTTGTTCTTGGCTTCCTGCTGATTCCTTTACCATTTCCTGCCAAGGACCAGCCTCAGACTAATCTCTGAGCAGTTGTGGTGCAAGTCCACAAAGGCTGCAAAGCATGCACATTTTGACCCTCCTCAGAACCAGCTGGAAATGTAGGGACGACTCCAAGTGCAGTAATCAACCCCCAGACTCACAAATCCAGTGAGTTCCCCACCATGGAGTACTAGTTTCAGATTGAAATAACAACCCTCATCTTTGGCCCCTTTCAATTCTATCCCCCAATTTAAAACCCTGGCACCAAAACAATAATTCCTGTCAATAGCTTAAATAAGTCCCCTTTCAGTAAGTTCTCAGATCTGATTAAAGCTTGTGCTTTAAAATGGTAATTTTGGAGCCCTTTTCCACTTGAGTATTTTTTTTATTCTCTAGATTTTAGTGATTTTTTTTAAAGTATTCACAATATTCATTAGCATTTGCTCTGTTTGTGCTACACTGAAAACCAAGTTTCTTTTTCCAAATAGTCTTCCTCCAGCTTCATTTCCCTAGTCCTCTTCAAGCTGTGGAGGAGCAGCACATGCCTGCAGAAGCCACAAGTCCTGGGTCTGAGCTCACTTACCAGATGAGAGACGCTGAGCCATGTACTCCTTGCATTCCCATCATTCTAGTTCCAAGGATGGTGTGGGACACCAAGGAGGGGGCACCCGTGAGAGCTCATGACTGTGAGTCGTGCTGGCAGTGGTCCTGTGGGTTGGGTATGGTCTTCTTGCCCAAAGTGTTCTCCATTATTCAAAAAGGACTCCTATCTTTCCCTAAACCTCAACCTCTACAAAAGACAAATTCCATTCCAGATTTAATCCTTCTTTTTAAATAGAGTTCTTCTTTTTAATGTTTATTTATTTATTTTTGACCATGCTGGGTCTTTGTTGCTGGGAGGGCTTTTCTCTCATTGCAACGAGTGGGGGCGACTCTTCGTTGCAGCACACAAGCTTCTCATTGCAGTGGCTTCTCTTGCAGAGTACAGGCTCTCGGCACGCAGGCTTTCAGTAGTTGCAGCAAATGGGCTGCCCTGCGGCATGTGGCATCTTCCCCAATAAACCTCGAACCTGAACCCGTTGTCTCTTGCATTAGCAGGCAGATTCTTTACCACTGAGCCACCAGAGGAACCCCTCACCAGGCAACCTTAAATGCACCTACTTTACTTGATTTACCTGTAAACTGAGTATCTTTATGCCTTAAGAGTCATCCTGGAACAGTTCCTTGTTGTCTTAGAGTGTAACTACCCCCCACCCCATTCCAGTGCAACATAAACACTATCTTTCACTAGCTATTGGTATCTGGGTGGTCTTTGGGAAAGGGGAGTGTGTTTGGAGCCCTTGAACTTTCCCAGAGTCACAACTCAGCAGAACACTTGTTACAACAAAGTGATGCTGTTTTAAGACAAATTGAGGTTGTCAGAGGAGATACTGAAGGCAGCACGAAACTGTTCCAAGGGACAGCTCCAGGGCTCAGTTCTTTCCAAAAACTCCCAGTTAAAGATTCGGCCACTCCTCAGCCTCTGGGGCTTTCTTGGCTCTTCACTGAGAAGGTCTTGACTCTGAACTGGGCCCTCCCACCACCCAAGAAAACAGGAAATAGAAACTGTACCAAACCTGTATTATGTTTCTGGAGGCTAAAAGAATGACTTTTCCATGAACTTTTGATTTCTAAAACTGGAAGAGACCTTAGAAATCACCTACCTCACCCACTCAGGTGGGTAAAGCACAAATCCAGAAGGCTTATGTGACTTGCAGCTGGTCACACAGCCGGCAGGTGTCAACACCTGGTCAGAACTCAGGCTTCCTACTTCATAGTCCAGCGACAGAGGAAGAGCGAGGAAGCAGCAAGATTAAGATTTGTAATCACCAGAAGTCTTCCTTTTAGTCTTTTTGGTTTTTAGAGGTATGTACTGAAATATTCGGAGAAGGCAATGGCAACCCATTCCAGTACTCTTGCCTGGAAAATTCCATGGACGGAGGAGCCTGGTAAGCCGCAGTCTGTGGGGTCACTAAGAGTCGGACACAACTGAGCGACTTCACTTTCACTTTTCACTTTCATGCATTGGAGAAGGAAATGGCAACCCACTCCAGTGTTCTTGCCTGGAGAATCCCAGGGACGGGGGAGCCTGGTGGCCTGCTGTCTATGGGGTCACACAGAGCCGGCCACGACTGAAGCAACTTAGCACTGAAATATTCCTGTTTAGAATGATAAAAATGACTGGGATTTGTTTCTCAATAATCCAGTTTGAGGAGAGGGGATAAGAGAGGTATAGCAGTGGGCTGATGATTGCTGAAGATGAGCAATGGGAAAAGTGGGGGCTCATTATACTAGTCTCCCTACTGTAAAATGTTTTTAGAATTTCCATAATAAAACGCCTTATAAAAAAATCAATGTTTTTAAAAGATATCTTTATCTTTTTGGAATCCCCATAAATAAGAAAACATCACCTGAGTAAAAATAGGACTTTGCAGGAAAAAAAAAAAATTCTTTTTTTTAAAAAGCATGTTTTTATTCTTAGATCTCAAGTCATCCTTTGAATTTCCCATTCTTTCAGTTCTGCTCTCATTCCCCCCCGCCCCCCTCGCTTCAGTGCATGGGGAGACCATAGCTAAGACAGAAGAGTATCTGGATGCTTCCGGTACAACAGGAGCAGCTACCATTGTGTCCTCAGACCTCTCACCAAGCATCTGTGTATGGGCACCCTCTGGATGAGTGCCCTAGGAGAGGGCACAGGCATCTCCAGCAGCTCTTTTCCTTGATCCTTCCTTCTCATCACTGACGCTACTTATCCAGCTTCCCAGGAGCAGGTGCCCCCTCCTGCACCTGTTGAAGGTTTCCACAATCCTACTCTAGAAGTTGCCCTAGGTGTTGCCAAGTACATAAAACCTTGGGAACTTGAGTGTTTTAATCTTGAGCTGGGAATAGGGGAGGAAAAGCTCCCCTGCCCCCCCAAAGTTTGGTCTATAATTTGACAAGAAAAACACATGGCACTGATGGACCTATTTGCAGGGTAGGAATAGCGATGCAGATGTAGAGAATGGACTTCTGGACACAGCAGGGGAAGGAGAGGGTGGGATGAATTGACAGAGAGAGTAGCATTGGCATGTGTACATTGCCATGTGTAAAACAGATAGCTAGTGGGAGCTCAGCTTGGTGCTCTGTGATGACCGAGAGGAGGGACGGGGGGTGGAGTGGGAGGGAAGCTCAAGAGGCAGGAGATGTGTGTATACTTATGGCTGATTCATGTTGTTGTACAGCAGAAACTAACACAATACTGTGAAGCAATTGTCCTCTAATTTAAAAAGAAGAAGAAGAAAAACAAAGGGGTAGGGGGTATGTAGGAAATCTCTATAACTTCTGCTCAACTTTGCTGTGAATCTAAAACTGCTCTAAAAAGTAAATTCTTTTTTTAAAAAGAGACATAAAAGAACCTCTCAAATACTAACTAGAGTCTAGTAGAATACGATGTTCCAATTACAAAATTATAGGGCTTTGATGAACTGAAAGTTGCAATGGAACTTGTTGAATATTATTGATATAAATAACCAGGAACAGGGGGATGTGTTACTTTTCTTGGGAATATTTTCACAGGGATCAAAAATACAGGAAACAAATCTCTTAGGAAATATTTCAGATGTCAGGGAATGGGAATGCACACATGATTAGGGGGAATAAGACCCTTTGAAAATGAATCAAGAAAGGAGGTCTTTATTTGACTTAAGTCTTATGTTTTCCCAAGACATACTGTCTATCAATACTATTCCAAATTATTTTTATATCTTTGTTAAATTGTATTTCCTTGTTAGAAATTAATAAATGCTTACTATGGAAAAGTGGGCAGCTGAGGAATGGCAAAAGGGGATTTATAGGAAAGTA